CGCTAAAGGTAACAGAACTGGAAAGTGCCCAGGGCTTTCAATTCAAGATCAGGTTCACTATTACCCTTAAGTCTAAGTAACAGACACCAATTTGCAATGTGGCTAAATAATTAATTGATCTAAACCAGGCATTAAACACCAGGGATAAAAAACAAAGCCTGTAAAAACAAAAACATTTCTTGGATTTTCAAAAAAATCAAATTCTGTTATGATACAGATGTTGAGGTTTTCAACTGGAACTGAGCATCTCTGTGAGGGGATGAATGCCTGTATTTGCAGGAAAAATCCAAACATTCCTATATGCGTTTTGAGTATAAAATAATGGGGCTGATTCCAACAGCCACAAACAGACACTACTGTCGTGGGCTAAGGATAATTCTGTAGAAAAATAGCTGGCCCAGTTGATACTTAACAAACGCAAAATGTTAGAGCTAGAAAGGGCTTTTGAGAATGCGTCCTACCTGGTTCCCAGGTAAGAACAACTGCACAGGAGAAGCTGGAAGTTGCCTAAGGCTACACAGCTCATTGAAGATAGGTGCGCAGGCCAGTTCTGCTTCCCCATGCTCAGCTATAAGTCATTACTAGTCCAAAACTATGTTAGGTGAAAAAACTAACATTTAAAAAACTGTCGGATGAGAAGGACACACTCTACATGCAAGAGTGTTTCAGAGACTATTAAGAAATACCACAACTGAAAATATTTTTAAATGTAAATGCTAATCGGAAATATTCAAATAACTATATATCAGATTCTTGTGTTCCTTTCCTATAAATACTATGATTAACATATAATCTGGCCCCATCTACTGGAAATGGAAAAATACCATAATTGTTGACGCATCAAAAAACTCACTAACACAAATAGAGAACTGTAAGTACTGAAGTATAACCTTTATAGCTCTGCCTCATTCTGTGTGTGTGCGCGTAGGTATATGTGTGTGTGGTGTTTATTGTTTTTTAAACAATTATTTTAGTCAGAAAATAGTTTTCATACAACATATTAATTTTTTTCTTTTTATATGTCTGCTTGATCAGTGTTAAACTGTTAAGGCTAAAGTTTGAAAGAACTATAAACATTGGTCTCTTTGTACACCTCTTCTGTATGACTGCAAATCTTCATTCACTTTCATATATGTATCATTTTTACTGTTATTTTTGTTCAATAAATACTTTGTGATACAAGGTGTGAGGAGGCAAGTGGGTCGGTTTACTTCCATTTACTTGGGGTAATCCAAATTTGACTTTTCCATATGGGTACAAGTTAGCAAATGAGTCTTGTCATCTAGCTTTAAATGTGGCATACCAAAACATGCTATGTATATATAATCTGCTTTAAACAGATGGTTAAAGAAACAAATATAATCACTGAAGTTGAATTGGAGAGAAGGGAATGGGTTTGAAAGTGTCCCATGGCCTTTTAAATCTCAAATTCTGTCAACTGTTCTGTATTGAGACGGGGGGCGGGAGCGGGGGGAGGAGGAGGGGAGAAATTACCACTTGCTCTTTTAGCCACAATTAGTATCTTACTCAATGGTGAAAGGCTGAAAGCTTTCCCCCTAACACTGGGAAGAAGATAAGCACACCCTCTGTTGCCATTTCTATTCAACACAGTACTGAAAGTCCTAGCAGGAGTAGGGGGAGGCACCCTAACCAGAAAGGAAGAAATAAAACTGTATTTACAGATGATGATGTTTTATATGTAGAAAAGCCTAAAGAAGCTACTACCCCCCCTAGAAAAAAACCCCCAAAAGCCTGTTAAAGCTAAGAAACTGTGCAAAATTGTAGGATACAAAACACGTAAAAATCATTGTATTTCTACACACTGGCAACAGAAAAACTCGCAAAAAATTAAGAAAACCATTCTATCTACAACATCAAAAAAATAAAACACTTAAGGAATACATTTAATCAAGGCAGCACAAGACTTGTACACTGAAAACTTACATAACATTGCTACAAGAATTAAAGACATCCTGTGTTCATGGACTGGAAGACAATACTGTTAAGATCACACATGATGATACTACCCAAAGTGACCTAATAGATTCAGTGCAATTCCTTTTACAATTCCAGTGGCATTTTCTTTTTGTATAAATAAGAAAAACTTTATCCTAAAATTTATATGGAATTTCAAGGGTTCTCAATAGCCAAAACAAAAAGAACAAAAAAAGACACTTTTTTTTTGGTATCCTCACCCAAGGACATGCTTATTAATTTAAGGAGTGGGGGAGAAACATTGACTGGTTGCCTCTTGTATGTGCCCTTACCAGGGCCCGAACCCACAAACTAGGCACATGCCCTGACTGGGAATCGAACCTACAATCTTTCAATTTACAGACAATGCTCCCACCTACTGAGCCACACAGGCCAATTAACAAGCATGCCAAGATCAGTGGGAAAAGAACAGGCTTTTCAACAAATGGTGCTGGGAAACTAGATATTCATATGCAGAAGAACGAAGTTGGACCTTTACCTAACACCATATACAAAAACTCACTCGTAAAAAAGGAAAATATTCATGCCCTTGGATTTGGTAATAGTTTCTCAAATATGCCACTAAGAGCAGATGCAACAGAAGAAAAATAGGTACACTGGACTTCATTACAATTAAAACTGTGTATCAAAATGACACCATCAAGAAAGCAAAAGACAATCCACAGACTGGAAGGAACTGCAAATCATATACCTCATAAATATCTAATACCTTGAATATACAAGGAACTCCTATAACTCAACAACAAAAAGTTATAAACACCATTTAAAAATAGGCAAAGAATTTGAATAGACATTTCTCCAAAGCAAATATACAAATGGCCAATAAGCACATGAAAAGATGCTCAGCATCCTTAGAGAAAAGAAAAACAAAACCACAAAGTTCTCCTTTACACCTATTAGAATGAATATTATAATTTTTAAAAAAGGAAATGTAGTTGGCAATGATGAGAAACTGGAACCTTCATATGTTATCAGTGGAAATGTGAAATAGCGCAGTTGCTCTGGAAAATAGTTTGGCAGTTTCTCAAAAACTTAAACACTCAATTACCAAATAACCCAACAATTCCACTCCTAAGTATATAAACCCTAAGAATTAGGAAAACGAGGATGCAAATGGAAACTTGTACACCAATGTTCACAGAAGCATTATGCCCAATAGATGGGAAAATCCAAGGTACATTAACAGATTAATGGATATCACAGAATAGTATTCAGTCGTGGAAAAAAAAAATGAACTGACACATGCTACAACATCAATAAACCTTGAAAACATTATGCTAAGTGAAACAGGCTAGACACAAAACGACAAATACAGTACGATTCCACTTGTATGTAATACCTAGACTACGCATCTTCAGAGTAAAAAAAAAAAAGTATATTTGAGGTATGGGGAAAAAATGGGGGGTTATTTCTTAAAGGGTACAGAGTTTCTGATTGGAGTGATGAAAAAATTTTGGAAATACTGATAATTGCTGTAACAACATTGTGAATCTAATTAATGTCACAATTGTATATTTATGGCAAATTTGGTTATGTATTTTAACCCATTTAAAAAAATAGTATACAAAAACTCAAAAAACTCTCATGAATTGTCTTTAGTTCCAAAGTTATTATAACATGGTAACAGACTTTCAAACATAGGCTGATAAAACACCAAAAAGAATATAACCACTTTTATATACCTAAAGTGACATATTTATTATGTGTTAACATCACTTGGAAGGAAAACAAAAGTCATCCTGTCTCCCCTTTAAGAACCTTGTCAGTTTAAGACAAATCATAAATGTTCAAGGTTCAAAATTTCTGAGTTTCCAAAAAATTAAAAATGGAACTGCCTCATGACCCAGCAATTCTGCTTCTGAGACTATACCTGAAGAAACCCAAATTCAAAATACTAATTCAAAAGAATATACACACCCCTATGTTCACTGTAGTGTTATTTACAACACCCAAGATTTGGAAGTAGTCCAAGTACCTATCAATAGATGAGTGGATTTAAAAAACTGTGGTACATTTACATAATAGAATATTACTCAGCCATAAAAAGGAGGAAATCTTACCTTTTGCAATAGCTTGGATGGAGCTGGAGAGCATTATGCTAACTGAAATAAGCCAGTCGGAGAAAGACAAATGCCATATGATTTCATTTACATGCGGATTTTCAAGAACAAAATAAACAAACAAATTAGACTTACAGAGAACAGACAACTGTGGGGCAGCGGGGTTGGGTGAATGGGTGAAAAGGTAAAGGGATTAAACAAAAACAAACAAAAAACCCCTCAAAGACACAGACAACTTGATAGCCAGAGGGAAAGGGGGTGGGGGAGGTAGAAGAAGGCAAAGGGAGGATAAATGGTGATGGAAGGAGACTTGACTTTGGGTAATGAACACAATGCAATATACAGATAATGTATTATAAAACTGTACACTTCAAACCTATATAATTTTATTAACCAATGTCACTCCAATGAATTCAGTAAAAAGTTAAAAAAAAATTCTGAATTTCAATTTTCTTTACTGAAGCTTCCAGGATCTGGATAGTACTCAAATATAAAAAACAAACAAACAAAAAACCAAAAAAACCCCCAAACAAATTACTCAATAAAATAATTCCTAGAACTTCCTAGGAAGAAGAATTTTGTGTAACTACTGGATTATATTTCTTAACACTTTTTATATGCAAGACTCACATGTATAACTATGTCAAATCTGTAACAAATCAAATTAAAAAAATGACACTTTACAATTGAGTGTTATCCTATAAAACTATAGTAGAGATTACTGTAGCTTGGCCAGCACAAACATACTGTAAGTTAAACATTATTGGCACAGTGAGACTTGATTACCTTAAGAATGAGTCCCATAAAAGAAAATGATCCCATTCTGCACAGCCTTCTTCCCCCATAAAGAACTGTGACAACAAAACCACATTTTAACAACATGAAGATTTTGTTATTATAAATTTCAAAACAAAATGGAGGAATTTCCACATAATATTTATAACCTTCAAAGTAATACATGTCTGTCAGTTAGAAATAACAGCAGTTTGTTAGGCTACAGGATTTAACATAAAACTAATTTACAAATGTGGAAAGCAGTAGTGGTCCAATATTCACCATTACACATAAATCTGTTTCTTCCAGAAATTTTTTTAAAAAAATTAAAATTTCAGTATCATAAAATATTAAAATAACACCCTAAACATGCCACAATCACTATTCACAAATAAAGTTAAAATGAAATATACAAAAATTCACTTAATACTGTTAAATAACAATAAACTACAAGATTTCCTGAACAGAAATGGTAGGACCCCTGAATGTTTTACAGTGAATGTCAGGAAAAAAAATTAAGTTATGACTATTTTCATGATATATAAGCCAAAAATTTACATGACCATTTCAAAATATACCAATTAAGATTTGTAGTTTGTAAGATGCACTAAACAAATAGTCCCTAAAAGTTAACAAAAATGCTTAAAACACTGTTACTAACACTCAGGTGTGTTTGTGATGTTCGAAGAGATGCATAATTAAAACTGTAATATTTGTATCTGGTAAACAGATAATAACTACAATGCTTAAAACAATCCTCTAAGTTCTCACTGATCTCATTTGTATTTATCATGGCTCATTTCAAAGACATATTACAGCTTTCAGCTGATTCCAAGTGAATGTTAAGACACATACATACAGACAGCCCCCCAACGAAATAAATTGTTCCTCAATGATATGGCATCCTTTATAAATGCAAGAATTGTTTTTAAAATGAACAAAAACAAGACCTCTCATGTTTGACTGGACTGGCATGGTTTCATTTAAAATAGGTTAAGTGTATTAGTATACAAATATCCAATAATGTGCAGTAAATATTTACGAAATAAGGTAAAAATAAACAATTTTGGATGCTTTAATTTACTGGTATCTAATGTGAGATCCCCAAAATGTCAGGTATTCACTTGCTTGAATCAACTTCTCCATCACATGCTTCCCTAAACATAATGTGCTTATCAATTTCTTAGCTATTCTATTTGCCAATGTTCGATAAAAAAGTTATATAGATTATATAGCATGAACTTAAGAGTGTTCAAGATGGCTCACTTATTTTACTGTTAAGCAAAGCTGAATTTACATTCCAGAAAACACCGCAGTTTAATTTTAAAAACAAACAAAAAAATGCAGCAGTAAAACAATTTGTGAGGAGAAACAGATGCATTCACATAATAAAGCCACTGCAACTTCTTCAGGCATTCAACTGTTGTGTTAAATAAACAGACAGTAGTTATTTAGCAGCAATGATTCCGCAATAAATAATGCACTGTGTTTCTCAGTCCTGCACAAAAATTGCAGCTACAGTTACATCAATAGCTGTAACCTACTGGCTCTAATGGCAGAGAAGACCTTAAAACCAACTGTACAAAAAAATTGTCACACTGTGACAACAAATATAAAAACAATCTGTAGGTCTGAAATAAAAAGACTCCACTGTGAAGAGGACAGTGTAGACAAACGGAGATTCCAAGTCCACCAAAAGAAATAATTGCCTTCAGATCTGAGTCCTTGATTGATAAGAAAGGCTGGGGCTGGGCTTGAAACCATGTTATCAGACTTAAAAGAGCATGCTCTGTCTTCTGTTCTTCCCATGTCCTAAAATATAAAGTCATTTTATGAGGCAGTTCAATGTTCAGTTTTATCCCACATACAGTATTTGGTGACTCTAGGAAGCTAATGTTCCCACCAGCAAAAGCTAATTTTCCATGGTAAGAGTGATCAGCACTGTCTTAAATGGCCCTTTTGTCGATGGGGTCTACAGCTTCTATGCTTCGAAGTGATGAACCTGATGACTAGGGAAGCACAAGGTGTGTCTTCTGCCTCAGGTACCAAGGATGGCGTGTGCAGTGATCAAGCCAGGCCACTTGTAAAAGGTCTTTGTGCCATCTGCAGCTTTCAGGATCCCTGACTTGACTGAGTCAGATTTCTCTCTGAAGAATTACTGAGCTGCCCACATCATACAGAAAAGTGAGTATGTGCAATGCTAAACATACAAAGTTGTGGAATGCACTGTACATTGGTTTTTACATCAATAATTTTACTGATCAATTTATAAACCAAAAATTGGTTCCACTCAAAATTTCATGATCGACATGTGAAATGGTTTATGACAAACACACCTGTCTCTGGATAAGAAGAATTTCGAAAACCCGGGTCCTTTTGCAACTGAATTTCTTTCAAACTGAATATTGACACACCTAGAATGCATAGAAAAAAATTATCAGATGAGGGTCTAACATTATTAAAACAAATATAACCCAACTGTAGACAAATGTTTAAAAATGAATACTGATACATCATGACACATTTATACTACAAGTTTATAGCCCTAATATTTTCCCTTTTGTCCCAATGTTTAAAGAAAACCAAACACAATAATCTCCCTTCAGAACCATGCCCCTCACCCCTCAACTCTGCTTTAAATCATGATTCAAGCATCTACTTTTTTAGGGAGAATATACATTGTCTATTTCTAGGACTTACTGGGGTTGGGAGACCTAATCAAAATGTATTACTTGGATTTTATTCTCTGTCCTTTTTCTCCCTCCTTATGATGGTATGAAGGTGTCAGGTCCTGAAGCTATCTTCAGATTTTTTAGAAATGAAAAAGGATTAGGTTTGTACATACTTCCTATCTCAAACTATGGAACTTGATATTAAAATGTAAATATCATCCTAAAAACACCTTTAATTCACCTTTCTCATTTACAATTTCTGCCAGAGAGGTATCTTTCATTAAAAAAACATAGTAAATTCTAAATGAAAAGTCTTAAGAATTCTTGATTATAATAAGCAAACTCTGGTGAATCAATATCATCTAGTAAATGAGAATGGGAAATGAATGAAAGCTTTAGAAGCTCAGTACCCAAATAGTTTCCTAATTTTCCACTCATCTTACTCAATTTAAAGTAAAATACTGGGGTAATTTTTTTTTTTTTAAAAGAATGTTATCAGTAAAGCAGTTATCTCAGGCATGAGAAATGGGCTGGTTTAGTGACTGACAATATGCTCACGACTGTCAGGACAATAGTAAAGGAAAATCATCTTTTTATCTTGAAAAGTATATCTACTTTTGCAAGAAAACAATCTTACGTTTTGGTTGCATTTCACTACTTTTTGCCTGAAATCCATTTTTAACAACTCTGAATCAAAGCAATACAGATTGGGACTAATGACAATATCTATCACCAGATGGTATTTTCCAACCTAAGTCCAATAAGATTAATTACCCATGCCTAAGTACTATTGATTTCTTACCGAGTAGTGGTAATGTGCTCAGTGTTAAATAAATTAAAACATGGGCAAACAAGACAGGCCTCCATTCAAGGAGTTCTGATATAATTACAAGAAGACTAGAATTTTTAGCTTAAAAACCAACAGCAACCCCTTCGTAATTCACCCCAGTCTCCAGCCCTGGACAAATGAAAACAAAGAAAGGTGTGGGCTTGCGGGGCGGGGAGAATACTAAAATCTCTCTTACTTTCAGGTAAAGCATGTATTCTTGGTCCCAGACTTCGAAAGTACACATGTTTCATGGCCTCCTCTGCTGAAACTCTTTTCTTAGATTCATACTGTGAAAAAGCAAATAACTGCTTCATTAACTTCTCTAAATACTTTAAAAGGGGGGAAGTTAGCACTACTTTAACTTGATTACTTAATACAGTCAGTATTTTTAAAAAACCAATTTGGAGGTACTCTAGATACTCTAATTTGAGCTATTGAGATTATGCAGTAATGATTATATCTCAATCCCAAATTTCCAACATAAAGTTGGATCTTAACTGAAATTTTAGATTCATTGTGTTTTTTGAAGTGATGGAAAATTAAAATATCTGGACTTTTGTGTTACTTTTTTTCATGAACACCAATGGGTCATTAAAAATATAACCCAAACTTTTATGATAGACATTATTAAATTACCTACTCTATTTCCATTTCCCATTTCTCCTTGATGAGATAACCTAGATTTATTTAAGGTGTCCATGCTTCCAACTCCAACAGATGGATCATGAATGGTGATGGTTCTAAGTTTGAGCTAATTATGACGACTCTGCTCTCCAATTCCTAGACTCTCTTACAATTAATGTTCAAGCCAACAAGACTTAATTTTGAAAAAGCCTTACAAGGGATTCTGGAAAAGCATTTGCTTTCCAGACGTAAGAGGACTAATGTGGCTGACATAACCCTTATACTCTCTCTTCCTGCTTTGAATGACAATATGAATGATATTTGGAGGTGCAGCACCCTGTACAGTTAAGTACAAGGAAGAGAAAGAAAACCTAAGAGAACACAAATTGACATATTATTTGATCAATGCCAGCAACTATATCGGACTGTTCTAGGTCACAATGAGAGACTTGCCAAACACATTAAGAGAAACCATTAATATTTTTTTACTTAGCTATATGCTTTAAGCATGCTAGATACAATAAATAATCTTATTTGATTGTCATTACAAATTTTTGAAGGAGGCATCATTGGTCCCATTCTACAGATGAAGAAACTGAGGCTCAGAGAAGTTAAGGCACTTAACAATTACAAAATAACATGTAACTTACCTGAAGAAATTTTGTTATCAACTCAATTCCTTCAGAGTCTAACCTAGAAACAGGGAAAAAAAAAAAAAGTGGTAGTTTATTCTATCTTAACTAATAGCAACTTTTTAAATAAAACTATTTTCCAAGTGTTTTAATCTGTGAAATACAGTGCCCTAAAATAGCCATTCTTGTTGTTTTCAAATAGACTCGAAACTGTTTTATCCTCAAAAGGCTAATCTTGCCACTTCTTTATGAAGAAACCATAAATAACTGGGCTTTGATTCAAATTTTCAATATTCAAGGACAAATTAGTTTATTAAAAACTACAGATTTTTAAAAAATCACCTTTCTGTCTCAAAACAAAATAACCTCTATTTATCGGGAAAGCTTAAGTCAATTGCATCAATTTTCAAAATGTTCCACTGAAGGCAAGAGTACAAAAGCATCGTTTTCCTATTATACAGGTGAAAACAAGGAGAAAAGTGACCCCAATATGTATCACTGTGGTCAAGTTAAACACAAATGAGTCATTCAAAAAATTTTTACAAGGTATAATTTTTTGAGCATGTAGTACCTGCAGCTATAAAATTCAATTTAAACATGCCTTGATAACTTCATAAAACTTAATTTAAAAGGTCTACAAAACAAATGTTACAAATGATAATGGTAAATAATTACAGTGATGAAATTTAATATAAGAGAGTAGAGGGCTTAGGGATTATCTTAATAGGATAATTTCCTGATCAGAAATCACAAGTTCTTACTGCCTTTTACTTGCAAAGCACAATTATGAATAAAGAATAGTTCCCCACCCGAGGGCTCATAGTGAGTACTGTGGGTACTGTGAATGCTGTGGCCCAGACATTCTCCAGACCCCTTCAATCCTCTGTAGTGTGCCACTCTGACAAATACACAGAGCTCCTTGGACACAGACAAGCTCAGTAGTAAGGTCATGAAGAATCTGTTTTAAAGAGCTTCAACCCACAATGGACATCACAATAGCAAGCAATATATAAATGACAAAAATAGGATTTATGCTACTTGGGAAAAGATATGCACAAAAAGTCCAGCATATAAAATGATTCTTCCTAAGGAACTCTACGTAGAATGTTATTAGTTGCTATGGTAACTGTAAGACCATCAATTCACATAAACACTTTAAAGATATTTTTGGTATCAGAACTGTACTGCTATTCTTCCAGAGCAGAAGAATAAATGAAGCTAGAACAAGTGTGTTATGTTGTGAGCAATGAAGGGCTTTGTAAAATAGACACTGGCCTCATGTGGCTACTTGGTGCCCTTTTTATTTTTTTTTTAAGGAGAAGATGGAAAAATACAGTCAAAGACATTAGTTACACTATGTTACTTACTAAAATGCAATACATTCTGCGAGTCAAATTTTAATGGGAGTCTTAAATGGACCTGGGGGTAGGTGTGAGAAGAAACTTTAATTGAAAGGCCAACACTGAGGATATGAGAGGTTAGAGTTTATTTTCTTCAAATACAAATTACATCATTAACTCCGACTACAATACTGCTGAGTCACCTTTTGTCAGAGTCCACATTTTACTTATAACACTTTCTTAGATTTTTTAAAAAGTAAACATAGAATAATCCCATAGAAGGCAAAATGGAGATTTCATCATGGTCTTCATGGTACTGATTAAGGCATTAATTAATGGCTTCTTTCTGGAAAAGGGAACAATCTACATGAACTCTACAATTTGTGATTCACATACTTTGGTAATCCTCGGTCTCTGAAGTAAAAAACTAATCTAACACAGGAAGGAAGAACTCAAATTTAACACTAAAATATTTAAGAATTGTGCATGTGTATTAAATGTTGAACCCTTATTGTGGATAATGCTTCATGACAGTAAAAAAGAATCATGTAGGTTTCCCCCTTTTTACTTAAAGAAAAAAAATACCTGGGTGCATGGTTAATTAGAGGCTGTGGTTTATATTTTGGGAAGTTGTAGTTCTTGAACTCATCATTTGAAGAAATACCTGGCCAAGTTTCCTGAGATGGAGTTCCTGAATTAAAAAATAAATATATAAACATGTAGAAAATTAGAAATATGTAAAAATGCATAAATGCAAATATATTTAAGAAGGCAAAATTAAGAAAGTGTTTTAAAGAACAATTCACATTTAGCAGATTATTTGACTTTCAACGAAATAGAAATGATAGAAATAGTAAACATATGGACTTTTTAAAGGCCTATGCAATGGTGCCATAAAAATGATAATGCCTAACTGACACCTCAGCAAGGAGTATTTCCTATTTAGTTGACATCTAAGTTAGAAATATTTCCTAACAGTACACTAAAGGTCAATTTTCAATAATATTTCTCTTCTGTTCTTTCACAAAGGTGGAACTTAGGAAATAAAAAGTTACTAGAAGGATCTATTGTTATCATAATTAATTATAATTCATATAATAGCAGCCCTTTATGTTAGTCTCAGTACCAAAGTTTTAAATATATTTTTTGAAGTCAGTCTGAAAAAAAAAGTCTAGCTACCCAATTGTTGTTAACAAATCACTGGTAAAAAGATTTCTTATTACCTAGCAGTCGGAATATTAAGTGCAGTTCATCCTCCACAGTTGATCCTGGAAACAGAGGTCTTCCAGAAGCCATTTCAAAGAAAATACAACCAACACCCCTTTAGAAAAAATATAAAGAATATATAAAAAATCGTGAGTAACCATCTACATATTATGACACGCAAGGATCTTCTCCTTATCATGACCTCTCTGAAGAATTTTGTACTAGCTTGCTTTTAGAAAATTTGTGCAGAGATATTGACATTCATCCTATTTGTCTCACTTCCATACTGCTATATCCATTTTTCCCCACTTCGAATGTCCAGCTCTCCTCTGCATGATCCTTGAAGAATAACAATAACTAATAGTGATTTAATGCTATGTGTTAGGTAGTGGGTAGCAGAGATAGGGAGAAGCAAATGATTCAAGATGTTTTTATGCAGAAAGCAGAGACAGAACAGGTAGGTACAGCTGTAGAGCGTATGAGTGCAGTGTATGTAAGAGAAGAAAGAGAAATGGATGGAGGCTCCGTGAATGGACACTCTTTTATAGGATTTGTGTGACTACAGCCCTCCCACTAAAGGAATAGCAATCTATCAACTGTAAGTAAAATTTATTTCATAATTATCAAAATGTTATATAGAAAAGAAAATGATGGGAGCCACGATGGAAAACAATATGGTAGTTCCTCAAAAAATTTTAACACACAATTATCATACGATCCACCAATTCCACTCCCATTCCATTCCAATTCCGTTCCTGAGGAACTGAAAGCAAGCCTCAAAAATGTTATTTGTACACCTCTGTCCATGGCAGCATTATTCACAATAGCAAAAAGATGGAAACAACACAAGTGTTCATTGACAGATGAATGTATAAATAAAATGTAGCACACATATGCAATTATTATTCAGATTTAAAAGTGAAGGAAATTCTGTCCTGCAAAGCAAAAGGTTTTGTCAGCTTCATTCCCAGTCAGGGCACATGCCTAGGTTGCAGGCTTTGTTGCTGGTGCCTTCAAGAGGCAACCAATGATGTTATTCTCTCACATTGATGTTTCTCTCCCTTTTTTTCGCTTTCCCTTTCCCTCTCTAAAATTAAATAAAGTTAAAAAAAAGTGAAGAAAATTCTGATACATAACAAACATCTACAACATGGGTGAATTTTAAAGACATTTATGCTAAGTGAAATAGGCCAATCACAAAAGGACTGTATGATTCCACTAACATAAGGGACTTAGAAAAGGTAAATTCAGAGACAGGAAGTAGAATGATGGTTGCCAGAGGTTAAAGGGAAGAACATACAGGGAGCTGTTTAATGCTACAGAGTTTCAGTTTTGCAAGATGAAAAAAGTACTGGAAATGGATAGTGGTGATGGTTGTTCAACAATGTCAATGTACTTAATCTTAAAGAACTGTACACTTAAAATTGGTTAAAATAGTAAATTTTATGTAAATTTTACCACTATTTAGAAAATAAGTTTAAAAAAGAAAAAGTGTTTTATGCCAAACAAAGTTATATATAATTGACCCAAGACAACAGAAGGAAGTACATGATTTATCACTACATGAAGGCTACAGGCAATTAAATGCAACCACAGGTCAGAGGAAGAAGTTGCTGCTGGAGGCTAGGTTGTATTCAGGAAAGGTTTATGAAATATTGTTTTGAAAGTTCCTAGGTAGAGGCCCCAGAGGGGAACAGGCTCTGAGAGGAACAGAGCAGGCATTCCAGTTGGATGGACTGGTATGAGCACAGAAGCAAAGGTGAGAAAGCCCACATTTCTAATTAAGCCCACATTATTTTTGAGATATAATGGCAGCCTTTTTGGCTACAGGGAACACCTGTGTAGAATAATTGTCTGAAGTGTTGGAAAACACAGTTTAGAGACATTTTATTGACATCATTATTAAGTATCAAGTTGAAGAACTGTATCTTATTCTATAGGTAATGAAGGAGAAAGGAGCAAAAGTGTTTTTGAGTGAAGGAGTATCATGATTAGAGTAGTGTGTGAGGAAAATGGCTATAGTATTTTATTATTTTTAGACCTACTTAAAGCAAGTAGATTTCTGAGAATATTAAATGATAATAAGAACAGTAATTTTGTTTTAAATTACTAGGTACCAGACACTCAATAGATTAGCTCATTTGGTTTTAACATAATCCAAAGAACAGCCATTTAAAATCATTATTGTGCTGTCACCGGTGTAGGCTGGGTGTTGAACCATAAAGTGAAGGGAGGCCTGTTTGATTCCTGTTCAGGGCACATGCCTGGGTTGTGGGTTTCGTCCCTGGCTGGGCTGCATATGAAGGAACCGACAGACGTTTCTTTCACATATCGATGTTTTTCTATTTCTCCCTCCCTCCCCCTCACTCTAAAAATAAAAAAACAGAATAGATTTTTAAAAAGTCATCTTTGTTACTATTTCCATGTCTTTAAATGAGTAAAGTAAGGCACAGGCCTATAATTTGAATAAAGTTACTATACAGTTATAAACAGTAGAATCGGTATTTAAACCTAGGTGATTTTATGTGCCAGAAATCTTAGTCACTGTATTGTAGGCTCTTTAAAATAGTATCTCCTTAAAAGTCAAATATCTATCAGAATACCCTATGTTAATGGCTACATTCTTTCAAAATTATAAATGGCAATAACATTCCCATATATTTACCACATGTCAATCTGTGTTGAGTATTCTGAGGAACCAAGAAGCACATCAGGTGGCCGGTACCACAGTGTGACAACTTCATTTGAGTAGGTCTTTGTGGGAACTGATTTAGCTCTGGCTAGTCCTTTACAAAAAAAAATAGAAAACAAGAAATAGCTATAAATAAATGGATTTCCCAGCCCATATCCTCACCATGACTCTGATCAAAAGGATGCCTGAAATGGCTACTTTGTAGCTTCTTGAAGCTTAGCGAAATTAGTTTTATGATTTTAGGTCAGCAAATCCTTATGCAATTAAACTAAATAATAATGATTCCACAATCAGATCACTTTTATGCATATGAATGCACCTGGTACAGTGTCTGGGTTAAACTTACCCATGAATCATGATGCAAAAGTATTTCCTAGCTCAACTTAAGTTAATGCAAAATAGGTCAATGACATTGAGATGAACAGTTTTACTTCTTGCAGCATTAGGCTTCTGTAACATTTTAACCTGATTCCAATTTTCATTTGCTATACCAATTTTTATCAAAAAAAGAAAAGCTATTGGCCCCAGAACTTGTTTGGGGTTTTTTTTTGTCTCTGAAACCTATTTTTTTTATAATTTTTTAAAAATTACACTTGACACATATTATAATTAGTTTTGGGTGAACAACATAGTGACTAGACATTTATATAACTTACAAAGTGATCACCCTGAAAGTCTAGTACCCATATGGTACCATCCTGTTGAGTTTCACTGACAATTTCCTTGCAAAAATCTATTTGGAGAAAGTTTCCTTAAAATAAGTAACAGTTATTCAGCACTCTTTTTAAATTTTAAGTTGTATAATTTTAAAATAAGACAAACCTCACTGCCTTCAGATATTATTAAATGTTGTAACTGATATAAAACACATGCCATTCCTTTGCCAATTTAAAAGGGAATCAATTGATTATCCAGAAATAAAGGTGAAAGTTCACAACTTTACCTTGTGACCCACAGGCATGAGAGAGTTGTTTTTACTACCTCTAAGCCTCTAAATTCTGAAGCAACTTTAAAAGATGTTTGAATAAATATAAATTTATTTTAACATATAGTTTATTTCTAACAACACAAAATATTTCATTGTTTAGGTTGTGATTTCTGTTTTGTATAACTTATGTATCTGATTAAAATATTAATTTTTAAAAATGTCATGAAAGTGTAATACTGTATTAAAATAAAGTCACACAAATGAAAACAGAAATTAAAATAATAGGTAACACTCATTTTTGTTTAGTGTAATGGCTAAAGGGTGTAACTAGAACAATGTTCACACTATTTTATTTAATTATGAATTTTATTCTACCATGCCAACTTGGAAAAATAAGTTCAACAAATTATTTTCTTACTAATTTTGGTAATTAGCAAGATGAAAGCAGCTTTCTGAGCTTTCCTCCTGATGTTAATAGCGGGTCATATGGGAGCAAAGTACCGGGCCACAAATTTACTTATCCTCTAACCTATGGTATCAACACAATTTCCAAACATAGTCTCTCCTCAGTACTTTACTCGCCTACTCTTGAGAGAATTCTGAACTAGGTGCGCTTGTTCAGACAGGTTCCTGGTTCACAATGTGAATTTCAGTATTGGTGTGAAATTAAATAATAATCTCTTCCAAAACAAGTTAAGTGTGATACAGTATTATTATATAAGCCTATTATTAATGAAAATGTCTATATTAGTACTTCCTAAACCTGAATTTAATCTATCACAGGAAAAAGGGTAGAATTTTCATGGGGATCAAGAATAATTTACAGTTAAATATTCAAAGCTGCCTGATCCTCTCTTCCTTGCAACCAACAAAATAAAAGCAATAGAGACAAAATTGATTGTACTATTTCAAGGAACAATCGGAGTTTCTTATTGGCCTGCGGAAGTTAAGATTTGCTTGGCTTGCTTTGTAAAGATTAGAAACAAAATTTCAAGCACTGATTCTATTTCCCCCACAAAAGGTAAATTTTTGATGGCTCTTGACATTCTTTTTTTGAACTCCTAAAGCCAAGCTGGGTTTCTCTATTTTTGCCATTCATTTTGGGATTAAGAAATAAGGAAGAGTAAATACAGCTTGGCGAAAAAAAAAAAGTGTGGGGGGATAACAATTATGAGGAAAACAACATAAACTATGGGCACGAGATTACATAATCTACGTGAGTATATGCAAATAACTTGTAATTTCTTGTTTAAACACACACGACCCACCCATTTCGTTTTTAAGGAATGAAATACAAATAGCAACCTACATTTCAATCAAATAGTAGAGTGGTAAGTAAGTAAAAGTATAGGAATTTCTAGAATAAATTCACCACTAACTAACAGTGAATTTTCAATGTTACTAAAACAATAAAATGGCCACTATACAGTTTTGTGTCACTGCCTTGATTTATACTAAGACACCAGTAGCTTTTACTTCTTACTGATTATGGATCATCGGTGTAAATGTTAACACAGTGAAAAAGGCAAATAACATCAGTGTAATTTTGATTACATATTATACCTTTGGGTCTTAGAGATCTATGGATCGTATCTGAGAATGGTGCCTTTTAGCATTTACTAACATAACTCACTCAACAAAGTTTTTGTCAAATATCTTATTCTGTGGGCTATATAGAAAATTTCCACATCTATATAAAGGCAATTACACAGTGTCAATGGTTGTTCTAAAAGAATTTAACCACCTGGAACTATTTATAAGTATCTCATACATTCCGTACCAAAATCTGCTAGCTTTAATTCTCCTTTTTCATTAATGAGAAGGTTCTGTGGTTTCAAGTCTCGGTGCAACACTTTTCTTCTGTGGCAATATGCCAAACCACGTAGAATTTGGTATAAAAACAGCTACAGAAACAAATAAATAGAAATTAGTCTTACAGATAATGAGATATACTTTGGTATAAGCTATGATAAAGAGAAAAACTACTGGCCTAGAATAGTTTAAAAAAAAAAAAGGGGGACCACATCCTTAAGTATAAGGCCTTTTCCTCATATAATTGTCTATTTCAAGCATCTACCTATTTTTTTTAGTCTAATAATATCTATGAAAATATTGAAAATAAAGTGAAATGAAACTCTTAGTAGTTAATAGTTTACTTGTTATAGAAAATGATTTAAATAAACATATTATTATAAATTTCTAAGCCTACCAAAGCCTAAAGTTTGATTATGAAATTCTGGTAAATGACCAACCAACCTCTATTTCCACCACCTACCCTACCAAAAAAAGGAAAATCTGATCTGGGACAGTGTCTTTAAACTAAAACATCAGGATGGTGGTTTTATGAAAATTCTGAGATGTCAAACAGAATGGTGCTGCACACAACTTTGGCAAATTATGTGCTATAAAAATACATTAAATCAGCTTCTATCACCTACCTCCTGGGTATTTTACTTTCAGCACCTCCTACTCAGCCCACAAAATCTGCTATGATTCAGAGAAGGGAATTGGCTCTGTTGAGTTCCGAATGACTCTTTGAAAGAAGTAATTCCTATAGATTTAATGGCAGACTTTTTGTGTTGATTTTGGTGGAAAAAGGGATGTGAAACATAGGCTTTTGATCCTTTGGGGTTAACAAAAAAAAAGAGCCTGAAGTACAGAGGACTGAAGAGTGTATCCCTGGTTTACTTGCAGGGGAAAAACAGAGCATTAGAATATCTGTTTTCAACCTTTTTCATCTCATGGCACACATAAACTAATTACTAAAATTCTGTGGCACACCAAAAAATGTATTTTTTGCCAATTTGACCAAAAAAATAGGTATAATTTTGATTCATTCACACTGACAGCTATTGTGATGTTGGCTGCTGTTATTTTTTTATTTGATAATCTAAGGGAAAAGAGGCCAGTGCCCCTGACTAAATAGTCAGATATTACATGTTTTAAAAATTTTTATGGCACAGTGTTTGAAAATCGCTACAGTAGAACACAGAATAAGCCAAGGCAGAAGGTGAACAATAGGCCTAAATAAATTCTAAGCAGCAGTTTCTATACTACATATTTATGTTTTTTAATATTCTAAAATTACTACTTCCATATATTCATGTTACTTTTAATGTTTGGAAAATACAAGTACAGAGTTAAATTTGCTATTTAAACAAATATAGTATTTTATACTTTAAGCCAGCCATATAGATCTGCCTTAAAAGATATAATAAACTACTCGAATCTTTGTCAATTTATAATTAGGCACTTATTTTCTGTCCAAATTATTGCTAATATGAAAGCAGGAAAAAAAAAACAAAACACAAAGAGAAATATATGCAAATGAGATTCACAACAACTTTCAAAACAAAATGTAAACTACAATATGAAGACAATTCTCAGAGAATGTATATTTGGAAATACACTTGAAGTTCTATTCTAAAATTCGTAGCAATGTGGTATCCATTATGTTCTGAGCTATCTTTTAATAGAAAAAACTGATTCTCTTTTATATCTGCCAAAATTGCAGTTTTTTAGAAAGTTTAAAGTTACTATCTATAGAATTGGAACTGTCTCAACACACAGCCAGGGCAGTCTATTTCCAGAATAGTTTCTTACAAACTGTGATCAGTTTGGATAAATAAGCCTTTGCCAGATTTGGTGTATACCATTTGGGTCAAAGAAATCTACTGTAGGAATACAACTATATCAAATGTTTTTACTTGATTTTACTTGTACCTTATTTTTGGATTTCATCTGGAAGTGATTATTATGCCAAAATTTTCTGGCGTTACTTGCATCTTTAGATATACAGGTAAGAAAACATAACAGTTATTTCACTTTTCCTCCTGACAATATAAAGTGATATTTCCAGCCTAGTATCATAATACTTGTGCATGTTCCTGGCCTTATTCACTAATTAGATTAGTAACTTGAAAATTAGTGTTTTATAATTAAATACCGTTTTAAATAAATATGTTAGGGAAGTTTTGCCATTTAAAGAATGTCTTTCAGAGAATGTAATACTCATTTGTATTTATTTAAACATTTGGATTTTGATGTAATAGGCTTTTCATTTTTTTTTAAGCAGATTACACTTGTAAATGTATTCTTTATGTAAAAGAATGTTATAATGTGAAATGTCTAAAGTGGTTTTTAAGATTTTTAAAACAAAGCAGGTTCTACAAAACTTAGCTTTGTTTTAAAAGGAGGTTTGGTCCTAAGGCCTATCTGGTCTTAAGAAATACTATGGTGTAATTAACAGAAGTTCTGAGTAATATTGTTCAGAGGGTAATAACCTATTTAAAATGCCAAAGAGAAAATTCTGAAGCAGAACAGTTATCAAGATAGTATATTTCATTAAGCAATGTAATTTGTCTACGCTTAGCATTTCTCTCTGCTTTAAACAAAATTAAAAATTACACATTAGAACATACCTTTACATTGTGCATACTCATGATGTTTCCACAATCATCCATGTACTGTTTTAGGTCTTTATCCTGAAAAAAATATAGTACTTTACTATGTGATACCTAGTTTTCAGAAGGCATGGCTGATTTACTTAAATACTAAATATTTTTAAAAAATAAGTTGTTTTTTGAGGAAAGATGTTGAATGCAACACATATAATTTAATTAAATGCCAATAACTAAGCAATAATATCCCTGAGGCCTGTTAAAAAATCCAACTTGCTACATTTTATTAAAGCAAAAAGTAAATACTGAATTTTTATTAAATGCTTACCAGGTACTCAAAGACCAGAGTCAAAGATTTATCTGTATGAACAATGTCATGTAAGGTAACTATATTTGCATGTTTTAGATCCTTTAATAGTGAAACTGCAAAACAGAAAAGAAAGTCAATTATCTGGTCTGTGGCAGCCAGTCTTTATAACAACCTGAATGAAGTTTAACATAAATTGATTGAGTTTAAGATTCTCTAAAGTTTAAAACAATAATGCATCAAGGAGATTTGCAGTAGAAATTTCAAGAGTCAGATTTTTTCTTTTATGACTCTGGGTTTGATATTTTTAATACTTAAAATTTCCCCCACTATTATAATAATACTCTCCATATTCTAGGTTTTTTTCTCAAATGTTAAACTTATTGAAACTTCTAGGGTTAATTAAATATTAAGTACAAGGTACCTTTCCCCTCCAAATTGCTAATCAGTGCTTCACACCATCTTCTGGATAATCTATCTTTTTTAAAAAACGGTACCACGATAAAAATATACTTATATTCTGTAAATACTAATTTATAGTTAGCTTTTCCTGAATGTGACATTATATAAATTTCCCAATGTCAAATATTTGTGTATGACAATGATTTTTAATGACTTAATATTTCATTTAAAGTTATACAATAATATAATTAACTAATACCTTTCTGTTGAATATTTTGGCTTTAGTTATTAGTTTTTAAGGCCTAAATAAATGTTCCAGTCATCTATTGTTTCTGTATCTGAGCACTTTTTCACTCACAAAATATGAACTCTTATGCAGCTTTGGTTTTAAAATGTCCTATGTAAATTTTACTCACAAAAGACCAAGTTATACCTTCTCTTATAGCTGTGCAGGGTGCACCTTCTTCATGTTCCAACCGGATCTCTTTTAATGCCACCAAATTCTCTGTCAATTTACTTCTTCCTTTATATACTGTAGCATATGTACCCTGTAAATCGTAATTTTGAAAGACACGTCAGAAGTATCATGAGAGTGTATCCTATCCTACCTATACAATAAAGAGCCCTTAACCAAATCTCTAAGTTCTAAGTGTATGTTAAATTCTACCTTGCAAGAGAAACTCCACATGATTAGTCTGTTTTCCTAAATCTAAAAGAACATTAAGTTCCATATGTGCAGCTTCTATATTTAAAACCCTATAGAGTGCTTCAAGAGTACAAAAATATAAGAATATTTCATTTACTTTTTACACTTTGAATCAGCTTAACAATGGATCACTACCTATAGAATCAAAAGTACTTTACCTGCAATAGTATATGGAGATTGAGGAAACTAATTGAACATATTAATTGAAAATTTAAATTATAACTAACATTGTTAAAATATAAGAATTTTACTGGTTTTCAGAATTTTTAAATTAACTCTCCTTTAAAAAACAAATATATTCTACAGGAGATTTCTTCTATCACTGCCAGGATAGCCCTCAAATTCTCTTAAGGATTCCTTGTTAACTAATTCTTATTATTTCCTTTACCCTCTCTCACTCTGGGAAGGAGGCAATTTCAAAATTAGTAGTAGCAGCAAGTTCAAGAAAACCAAGGTCTTATTAGCCAAGAATTTCCTTCTGTGATGTGTCTTTATCTCAGAGTATTTCGACCTTTCACAGGTTTAAACTCATGCAATTTCTCATATGACAGTACAGACTGGAGATTCCCCAGAAGCTAACTAACAGATACGTATTTTATTACCAAGAACGCACAATACAGTCATAGCTTGGTACTCATTGGCTTCAGAACTCATCAAACCTTATATTTGTCACATTTTGACGAGAAAAAAAATGTTTCAGCACTTGGCCACCTTGCCAGAGAAAATGCTTCATCCTTCTGTACTCGTTGGTTCCGGCACTACTCATGAGTTCTGGAATGAATTAATGACGAGTACCGAGGTACCACTATATTTTGTGCTTCAATAAAGGTTACAACGCTATAGAAAATATTCTTTCTCTCTCAAACTGATATGGTAATTTCAAGAATGTAAGGTTTTTTCCTTCTAACATTCTGTTGTCTTTTTCAGAAGATGGTATGAACTTCCAGACAATAGTGCTTACTATTTTTTTCCAGGTTAGCAAAAACTGGAGACTAATAGAGGAGTTGAGATGATAAACAAGAAAAAAAGTCTTACATTTTTAGAATAAGTATTTACTTACCTCTCCAAGCTTCTCCAATTTGATGTAGGTTTCCATTTTCCCAAATCCAATTTCTGACTGAAAGCAAACAATTATAAATTTAGTAGTCCTAAAATTTCAATTACTCTCTTCTACAATTTCTAAAACCCTCCTACTGTAAAGAGTGTCTTAGAATAGGAAAAAATTTTATTAAATTGTTGAACATCTGTCAAGTTTTACAATACACCTGATGTTAAAAAGGTTCAAAAATATCAAAGTTCACAATTAACATTCTCAATCCATCTTTTATATAGATTAGTTTATATTCTGCTATGAAAAAACTTTAAGACCCTAAGATTTTAAGATGCCAAAGAATTTTATAAAAGATAACATGATTTCATTTCTAAGAAAACTACAAAATAAATGATTTTTCTACACATTTTTCTTCACTAATCTTTGTGTTCCTTATGAATGTCTTCAAGCAACAAAATGCCATGTGTTTTCAGTTTTCCAACCAAAGTATAATGAAAAAGACAACTGCAAGTCAAACTTTATCATGGATGAGGAAATGGCTGGCACAGAAGAAGCAATGTAAGTCTAAATCTGGTCACCAATCTCCCCCAACAAAAACGGCTTTAAAAGTAAGTTAAAACTATTGCTTTTAAACCTTGAACTTGTTTGCCTATTTTGTGTGGAATCAACAAATGCAGTAAATGGAATACGTAATGGAAATCCAATATTTAAAAATGAAAAATAAAACGAAAAGCCCTAACACAAGAGATTTTGGAAAAAAATACAGAAATGTAAGTTTAGGGATTGAGAGAGGAAAAATAGAAAAAAATTAACAAACAGAAAAAGAAAACAAGAAATTCCTCAAAATTATAATACCCCTTGTACATAATGAGAAAGACAATAATAATGTAAAAAAAAGAGTGTCTTCCCACTTAGAATGGTGCTAATATCCTTAAATAAATGGTTGGTGAAAGGAAATAGTGTTCTTTTATATTTTACCTCAGCACTAAAAATTGTATCAGTTATGCTGGATCATTAAATAGTATGTTTTAGTCAAATTCTGGAGGTTCAAATTCAAAATTTTTTCTGGAGGTGTTGAATAAAATTTGACAGTTAGACTTTTAACATCATTCAGTACACTTTGAATGGGATAAATTGTCCAAAGTTGAATGACCAAAAATAGCAGAGGACCTTCAAAGAAACTGTCTTTATCTTTTTTTTTTTCCTTTACAATAAAATGTATCATGTTAAAAAGCCATGAGGAAAACTGTATGTCCAATAGTACTTAATTCAATTTTGGTAAATTAATAAAAAACTCTGGTCACAGGAAGTACTGAATGACTGAAAAACTGCTTCTTTCTGTGCTCTTTACGGCCTATACATAGTGGTTTTAAAAATTTAATGAAGAAAAATGAAGTTTTGGAATCATAAACCATCCATTCACATCCTGTCTTATTTATGACTCACAGATATTAAGTCCTTGCTTTCTATTGCTAACAACTATGCAGAATAATGAAGTAAAAAACTATAATAGGCAACACTTTCCAAACACAAATGGAGTTTAACTTTAATATGTAAAATGTGGCAAACAAAATCTGGTAAATGAAAGCCTGATTCATGTATGATTTTTACAGCCAATTTACATATGATCTTAAATAACTTAGACAAAAAAAGGTTAACTGCCAAGGTCACATAAACTGATAGAACATGTTTAGTTTATTATACCCTCTCTGAAATTCAGGTTCTTTAAGTCTTGTATGAAAAGACTTAAACTAGTCTGAAACTAGTATTAGCAAACCATGAATGTCCCTGAAAAAAAAATTAAAATATCGTCATCATCTATAACAATGAGAAGCACATAGAAAAATATGACTGCTAGGTAGGAAGTTATTCATCTTTTAAGTGAATAAGTGGTAGCACACCCTTAAAACATCAAATACACTTTGGTCCAGGGGTGGCTATGACAAAAATGCTGAGGTTTGCTTTTAAGGGTGTGTTAAGTATATATGGAATAAACTGTAAGGGATGCATCAAAAATTAACATAGCAAGAGTCACTCTTCAGAGAATGATATAAAATTATTAAAATATGCTGAAAATCTGCTTTGAAAAAAGAAAGTAAATACTGTATTATAATTAAAGCTAAATTTAAATTTTAATAATTAATCTATAATATAAACAGTGTAACTGAATTCCACCCATCCAGCGAATTCAGAGAAAAGGCAGTTTACAAGTAAACTGTTAGAACCTAATTCAAAGAGTAAAGACACCTACTTCACCACCCATTTTAATAATTTCAAACACTTAGGATTTAATAGTTATGTCCAAATACTATTTTCTGAATCTTTAAATGGAATTTTTAGAAAACTTTGCTTGCATTTTTATCTGCTGAACATGACAAGATTAACAATAGATATAATGACTAGCTTGTTGACATGCTCTCCTACAGAAATTATTCAGAGGACAGAGGACAAAGCTCATTTATTCAACATTTACCAAATACAGTGCTAGGTACTGGGGATACAGTGAAGAAGACAAATATGATCGCTGTTTTTATGAGTTCCATCTGAAATTATTTTAGAATATTTAAAAAATTTTTAAAAACAGAAATAGCTAAAGGAATTGTATAGCTAAAATACAATAAGCTTTGTATTTTAACATAATATAAAAACCCTCCTCAATTCTGCTTTCTAAAGAAATGAAGATAACCTTCTCTGATACTTTAGTACTCCAAGAGAATACTTGGCTTTTTGGTGGCTCCAAGTAAATTCCTGTTCAGATGGTTCTTACCAGGATAAGCACATTTAAAAAATCTGAAATAAATTATAATTTATAACAGCCTTCCTATAATTTAGTGTAACTTGTAAGTGGTACTGAACAGTATGGGAGACTTCTTGATTACTTTGGCTCTGGCAACATAATCACTGCATCATAGTTGTGATGATGTGTTAACATGCTGCCAATACAGTTCTGAGTTTCAAATAAATGAGGTATGTGCAAAAGTTCTGTAGATGCCATTCTAAAAGTGAATGTGCCTATTAGAAACACTCGAGACAAAGGGAGATTTTTTTCAAACACCCCATTTCCCTCCGGGGAGGATTACTGAGATACTGTTGCTGACAGAAATGTGCTCTGTGCAAGGCAGAAAAAGAGATTGAGAAGGTCTATTCTACTGGGTCATTTTGTTTTAAAAAAATTGCTGTCACAATTATCATGATACTATTTTAATCCTATAATATGCCAAAAGTAAACTGAGTTGTGGGCAGACTTTGATCCTCATTGTCATACCCCGTAATATATTTACTATTTCTGAAAGGTATCAGGACTTGATACCCTATTTTCTCGTCTACTCTTAGAAACAGAAAAGACTATATACAACCTATTCCAGTAAAGCCATGAATAAGGAATCTATCACTTATTGTCGAGGGAGAACCAGATTCCTAAAATGTGTATAACCTATAATTTCAGTATAATGACAAATTTTCATATACAGATTTTCAGTCTACTAAAGTTGCACTTTATAGTTTCACAAAACTTCCACTGGGCATGTCATCGTTGTACTTCAGCAATGCTCTAGTGAATCCTGACTATCTGCATGTGGGCTTTCTCACTAGTCTTATGTTAAGAGTTAGAATATTCCATTTATTATCAAACATAAATGAGTATTAAATAGCACTTTGCCAATCCAATAACCAATATGAGATATGATGACTAGATGTAATGAGGTGTCCAAGATGGGATCCTGGGACAAAAAAGAACCTTAGCGAAAGACTAGGGAAATGTGAATAAAGTGTGGAGTTTAGTTAATAGTAATGTAACAATGTAGATTCCTTATTTGTGACAAATGTACTAATGTAAAATGTTAATATAACTGGGTATGTGGTGTATAAGAACACTATAGTATTTTTAAAGTTTTCTGTAAATCTAAAACTATTATAAAATTAAAATTTATTTAAATAAAAATTCAATAGGAAGGATTCAGATAAGAGGAAGACTATATACATCTAAGGGTCTAGGGATAACAATTATTCTAAGCATCCTAAAGAGATGAACAGGAAGGTCAATTCCTCAATATTAAAACAAGGAAAGGATAGAACGAGCACAGGTATAGGCAGATTTGTACATTTGTTACTCAAGAAATAAGGGAGTTTCTGATTAATGGTTTCTTTCTTCCTTATCATGTGGGTAGGAGAAGAGATTACTTGCTTAGGGCAAGACGGAAAGAGTTAACTACAGAAAGCCAGTAGGGTAGCTACACAATACTGAGGATCCATTTGAAGTTGATAATCGTAAATCTATAAAAGAACCAATAAGCTCTATTGTATGTCTTTCTCCACCAGAAAACCCAAAGGGTTTATGTTATTTTTTACTACTCATTATACACTGAAATTATGAAAACAAAGTTTTATCTTTGAAAAAGACAAAACTAACATTTTGTTGAAAACATATTTTTTAGATAAAGTGTATATTACCCATCAAAACATGAACTCTAACACATGTGAAGAATACTTCCCTTTTCCCACCTCCTTTCCATTTTTCCCTAACCCACTCCGTCATACATAAACCTAAGGTACTGAAGAATAATTTTGTAATATATATCTAAAGAAATTATGCTTTAGTAAGTTAGATGAGTAATAAAAGGGAAGAGATAACAGAAATCAAAGCACAGCTGGCATGATTAATCTGAAATCTGTAAGTTATTTTAGATCAAAAAACAATGGTGGGCAGGAACACCCAATCACAATAAAAACTCCAGTCACTTTTAATATTCATTAGAGGGCACTGTTTTCCTTTCTTTTATGTCGACTGAACAAGATAGCTCCTATAATGATAGCTTTAAGAATTACATGGTGATTGAAGCATACTTTTTAGCTCCAATCTGAATATTTAATAATGCCAAAATTTATCCTAAGTACAAATCTTTGATAAAAATTGATAACCAAAATTTTTAACCATTAATCAAATGGCAAAGTTATTTGAATAAAAATTTCTTAAGCAGCAATGCAAAACTATGATTATAAGAAATGTATACCAAAATCAAGTGAGCAATTACACTTTTACCTTACTGTGCACTGGTGAATGTCAAATAACAATGTGCTCACATTATATGCAGCATAAAGTAATTTTATTCTTTAGAACATGTAACCAAAAACAGAAGTTTTGGTGAGTAAAAACATTCCATAATATATATTTAAAAAGGAGATATAACAACTGCTAGCAACCTAGGAATCCTCATCAATTGCTCCTTCCTCAGACACAAAGTCCAACTTTGTGGGTACAATGCCCTGCTTATTTTATCTCTCATGATCCCTAGAATCTATGTTTTACTTTCCATTCCCACATGACTGGCACATCATTCCTAATTCTGGATAAATTCCTAATTCATCTCCTTATCTCTAGCCTTTCTCTCCTTCTACTTCATCACTTTCTCTTTCCTGAAGCTATTGTCTGGAACAAACATGTGATGTCCGCCCTTATTTACATAAACACCTTTGATATACTTCCATTACATGGGATGAATCTGGACTCCACCTGACACGTCAGGCTTTTTACAGTCTGGATCCATCTTATCCTTTCAAGCCTTATTCTTTAGTATTTTCTACATTTACCTTTTTATCAGTTATAATTGACACCTACATTCATATCTCCAGGTTTTAATACATGAAGTTTCTTCATTTTAGAACACTCCTCTACCCATTGTCAACCTGACAAATTCCTACCCATCCTTTTTAGAGCTAGCTGAAGCACTATCTCCTCTGCAAGCCTGTGATGTGCAAGGACATTTTACAGCATTTCATGTGGACTTCTTCTAGCGGACTACAGCCATCCAAAATAAATCCTCACATAGACAAGCACCTGAATGTATGGCAAAGATGATACTGCAACAGTGAAAGCTGCCCTTTCTATAACTAGTGCTGGGTCAACTGCAACTTGCTAGAAAATATTTTCAAGACATATAACTGACGAAGGTCTTTTCTATAGAAATGTATAAAAAATTCCCATAAATCAATAAGACAAAGGCAGAAAACCCAACAGAAAAGAGAGAACAGACCTGAGCAGTTAATTCACGAGTACATCTAAATGCCCAATAAACATTAACAAGTGTTCAACTAGCTGCACATCTAAAACTAATATAAAATGATTTTGACTGTCAACTGTAATTGAAAAATTAAAAAAAGGAGACAATTTAATTAAAGAATTTTAAAAAGCATTCAGCTTAGGTTATGAAAAGATACAAACTAAAACCACATTGAGATAATACTCAACAGAAAAGTAAAAAATAAAAATTAAAAAGGGACAATATCAAAAACAAACAAGGAGAGTAAATAGGACTATCATGCACTGGTGATGAAAGTATAAGTTACTATGACCACTTTGGAAACTGTTTTGACAGTATCTGGGAAGGTGAACATATGCACATAAACTTATCCAACAATTCCACTCCTAGGTATTCACCCAAAAGAAATGATTACATATATTAACCAAAACACATGTACAGATATACTGAAAGAAGTTCTGTTTGGTAATAACCAAAAACTAAAACAACCCAAATGTCCATCAACAGGAGGCTAGATAAAGTATACTATACCCATTCAATGGAATAACATGTGACAAGAACAAATGAACTATAATTACAAGCAACAACCTAGATAAAACACTAGCACAACATTGAGCCAAAGAAGCCAACCACAAAAAGAATACATACTGTATAATACATGTAAAAACATATAAATACATTGATATACTTGTATTAAATAAATTTTAATAATTTATATAGTCATAACTACATAAAGTTCAAAAGTCTAAATAATAATCAGAAAAACAAAATCAAAAGCATTTTTAAGTACATAAGAACATGCATGTAAATGAGGTTTTAAAAGTCTTTCTAGATTATTAAAATATACTATAAATATAGTATCAAAATAGTAGAAAACATATGGGTAAAATTAACCTTTGGCATTAAAGGCAGGGATAAGTCATGGCTGGGTGGTTCAGTTGGTTGGAGTACTGTCCCATGCACCAACAGGTTGCAGGTTTGATCCCTGATTGAGGCATGTGTGAGAGGCGGCCAATCAATGTTTCTTTCTCACAGGTTTCTCCACCAGCACCCGCCCCCCGGCCCCAGCCACTGACCCCTTCCTCTCTCTCTAGAATCAGTGAATATATCTTTGGGTGAGGATTTAAAAAAAAAAAAAAAAAAAAAAAAAAAAAAAAAAGGGCAGGGATAATGGCTACTGTTGAGGAAGTGGGGGTAGAAAGTAAACAGAATTGAGGTGGCAGGAGGGCTTTTCTAGATCTCTGAAATTTTCTCTTATTGATCTTGGTCCTGGTTATACAGGTATGTTAGCTGCAAAAATTTATTGAGCTACACAATTAAGGTTTATTTACTTTTATGTATATCTAGTATATATTAATATATATTTGTATATCTACTACATATTCTGTACATCTAGCATATATCAATAAAATTTACCAAAAATAAAATGGAACATTGCTTAAACCCTATTCTAATATGCATCTATATTTTTAATCCTCACCCAAGAATATGGTTTTTTTTAACACTAATTTGAGAGAGAAAGATATCAATGTGAGAGAGAAACATCAATCAGTTGCCTCCCGTACAAGCTTGGAATGGGGATCAAACCCACAACCTTTTGGTACACAGGACGATGCTCGAAACAACTGAAACACCCAACCAGGGCTCTAATACGCATCGCTGAACCCTTAAAAATGGAAAACAATAAAACTCAGAAGTAAATGTAATAAAATTTAGCTATTCAAAAACTAAATATAAGAATTAATATAAAATGTTTACACCCAGAAACATCAACCAAAGCACATCCGACTGCATAGGTACAGGAAACTAAAAACTTACTAAGGAAGCTCTACGAGATCTTCGGCTCATTGGTTGATCAAATGGTGGACTGTTTATCTGCAATTTCTCAAGATATCCATCAGGTATTCTGATATCTGCAGGCAGTGACAACCTCTTATTTAAATCCTTAAAAAAAAATTATTGTAGGTAAATACAAGTAGAAAAGGGCATGTGACTTTTGAATTCATGGGCTACAAAACATTATTTCTTAGTGATAACTAAAGTTTCACTGTAGCTGCAAAGTTATCTTGTTGATTATAACACATTTACTCTAAGCAAAAGTATATACAGCAGTTTTACATAAATGGTACTCTGCAACCCAGTTATTTTTGAACTTTTAAAGTGGACTTTATCTTGACATTATTATATTATATAGCAGGAAAAGGCAAAGAGTACCACAAAATGTGATTGGTTTAAATGAACTAACCAAGTAGATATTGTATGATTTTGTATACAATACAGTGAGACAACTTAAAATTTTATTACTGCTATGTCAGTGGACAAAAGTAAGCAAAAGACGTCCTTATTTCATTTTGTTATAGAGTATGAACTCAAAGAAACATGGAAGGGAATCTTGCTTATATTATTGTACCAAGTAACATAAATCCTAGAAAAGTAAGTCCCTTATTATTCATAATAGTAACCAAACCATGAAACAAAATTGAGATGTATAGGAACTGTATAAATATTTGAGAGATATATGACTTAAGTATAGAAATATACCATGTTCCCAAATCATAAGATTAAGTAATAAAAACAATGGCTCTCCCATATTAGTTTTATATTTTACATAAACCCCAGTCAAATCACAATAAGATTGTTCTTGAAACAAAACATTTAAAATTTATCTAGAAGAATAAACCAAAATATGCCAAAACATTCTAAAATAAATCAGAGAATGTGTGTGTAGGGTGGGGATATGTTGATAAAGACGTCTTTCCAGATATTGAAATATACAATAAAAAGATTATAATCAAGAATGTCACCTTTAGAAAAAAATTAAATACAGTTCATTGGAAGACTGAGAAAGTCTAGATATAGATCCTGTAAATAAATCTTTTAAATATATAACAAAGAAAATTATATATCTATATGGTGAAGAAAATCAGGATTATTATTCTTATTATTATTGTGACATGTTATAGAGTGATATAAACAGATATCAAGTTGCTCTTAAGAGATGAAAATTCATCAATTAGGAAACTGATTGTCTTCCTTAACTGATTCAGAGGCAAGCTTTTATCAAAGAAAATGCAATTATCTCTACAACACTGAAAAAAGTTAATACTCATTTAAAACATCCTCAATTTCTTTTTAGAGAAAACTATTTTAATCTATAGTATATACTGAAATAACATTCATAATCAACTTTTGTCATTGAGGTTATATATAACAGTGACAAAGAGAAGAAAATGAGCTCTTTATTCTTTTACATGGAGAAATAACTTATATGTGCTACAGAGATTAGTAGGAGTAAATATAATGAACCACAGAGGAAATGATACCATACTTACAGTCAAGACAAGAAGAAAAAGCTGGTACTTATTTTATCTATACCTTTTGAAATTTGAAACAGTTATAAAATGAAATATAAAGTAAACCAAATGAATCTCAAAAATATAATTAAGATCATATTTTCTAAAAAGATTACTTTGCTAATGTATCATTCTGATTTCCAGAACTTCTGAAATTTCACATTTCTCTCACAGAAAACCTACATAATACTTTGAAAAGTATTAAATATAATTAATGCATACTTGCTTTGTGATAGTGGATAATTAGAAGGTCACAAAACTACTCTTCACTAATGCAAAAAAAATTGCTTTCTTACAAGTTTCATTTGCCTTCATGAAAATTTTCAAATAGGCATTTAGTCTGTTTGATATATACATGTGTGCTTACACGCACGCATGTGCATGTACAGACACACACAAACAGGTGCATTTAATAGTTTTTAATGGTTACCTCCATTGAGATCCGTCTATGTACACGATTTCTAAGACAAACACCTGTAGGTGATTGGACTTCATCAGATGATGTCCCAGAAGCTTGGTCACTCTCACCATCAGATCCCATTTTTAGATTTTCATGAACAATATCTGTATTAGAAAATGAAACATTTATTTTACAAGACATGTTATTATACTGTTAACATAATTTATTACTACTACAGTAAGGTGTAGATAGCCAATACATAAAAAATCACAGCATAAAAAGTCTTGTACATTCTCGGTACCATAGATGAACAATTAATATATCAAAACATAAATGTCTTAAAACACTAGTAAGTATAGTCCTTTTATACTCTCAGATTATGAAAAATTATGGAAAAAAGCTAATATTCAAGATATTATCAAGGTTGAAGAATAAAATTATAGACTGGAAATAACAATGAGAATTATTTAAGCCAGTTCTCTCGCTTTTCAAATCTGGTAACTGAGACCTTGAAAGGTTAAATGACTTCCTAAGGTTACACAGCTTAGAGGCAGAGAGAAAACAGAAACTTGGTCTTTAGCCTTTTATTTAATTTAGTATTCTTTCCATTAAAATAATGTGCCACTGGCGCCACAGCCAAATAGCTAGTTCTTTGAATATTCTTTAAAAACTGGAAGTGCAGCTACCCTTTCTCCCAGTATTAAAAATAAAACAATTCAAAAATTATTCACTGAATATCTACTTTGTACGAGAACTAAACACCACGAAACTATACAAAAGAAACTTGTATACTTACACACCTGTTCATATTATTAGTCAATCATCCTCTCACTCATCTAGCAAGAGTAGCCCACCAGAAACAATGCTAGATCTCAAAAACATCTCTTGTCACTCATCTTCACTATACAATTATTCATTCCCCCCAAAAGCATCATATTGTTTCATGCTACAGTGCTTTAACATACTTTTTTTCTCTTATTTGTAAAAGATGGCTTTCCCTTATTTTATCAATCTGGTGAATTCATACTTATTCTTCAAAACTATGCTCACGTATCATTACTCAGTGAAGTTTTTCCTACTCTCCAACACAGATGATTATTGTGCCCACACTGCATCTATTGCACTGATGAGCATTTTTTTGGTTCATGTGATTTTTACACTAAGTTTAGTATGAGATCCTTGGGGGCAGGGTCTGTCTTATTCACTTTTGTATTCCCAGAACTTAAGAAAATGCATGGTTCTTAGAAGGTGCTCAACAAATGTTCCAATGAATTAAATATTAACTATAAATCAAGAAATAGACTAGATAACGGGGACTTTTTTTCAAATGAAATGTTATATAAAACAATATGTACAATAATATTTTATTAACTACAAATTTGAACTTTTGCAAACAATATTTGCTCATAAAAATAGAACTGTTCAACAAAAATTAAACTCAAGGAGCTCATCAAATCAGTCTTAGAATTCATATATCTATTTTGTCTTACACTGTTCAGAAAATTTATTCACACTAAGTAACAGCTGCAAATGGCAATGGTTTTAAATAGATCAACCTGGAATTCAAGAATACACTTCAAGAATAGAGATTTCTGGAGAAATTTTATGTGAACAAAAAATTAAATGGGCAGTAAAAGTCAATGTATTGGAGGTTGATTCCTGATCTGATGACATCTAACATCTGAAGCAACTATTCATCAGTATCTGAAAATCTTTCTTTTCAAGCAAGTTTTGAATAATATATAATACTTTAAATGTAGAGCTGAGTTTGCAAGAACGTATGCATTATACACAGGAAGCAAAGACAGAACTGAAAACCCAAAGTTGTTTTGCGTTAACTGTCACTTTCTTAAGACAGGTTGCTGATCTTGGAAAGAAGGTGCCTGGGTTTAGCTGCCACACTAAAAGATGAAGCCTCAGTGTCTGAGTTGCAAGTGAGAGCTTCCTACAGAAAACTTCCTACAAGACTCGCAAAGTGCTACATGTTCAGTAAAGGGCAGACTTAAAAAAACAAATCTGTTCTACTGCACAAGGATTACAAAGGAGCATATTAATTTCAGACTCTGAATAAATACCTGAGTACCACCTGGCTCAACCAAGAAATTGGTCATGTTATTAACAAACAATTGCAATTCCAACATGAATATTGGCTGGTACTTTAATTTGTTAATAATGAAAATATTAAACAATACAGGCTTATGTCAAAATTCCACTCATTTGCCATTGGTGTGAGCAACTTCTTTGCTGAATCAAGCAATAGTTTTTAAGTACTAGAAGAATATATACTTCTCAGATTGCTCAAACTCTGTGTAATTCACAATGTTAACAGCTAAAGATATAAGGCACTTTTAAATTTAAATCTCATTACTAACATTTTCAACGTCACTTTCTTAAGTTTAGACCAAGGGTCAGAAAACATGACTGGTTTTGTATGACCCCTGAACTAAAAATATTTTTTTTCCATCTTTACAGTGTTGTTTTAAAAAGAATATGCAACATAGACCATATGTTGCCCACCTGCAAAATTTACTATCTGGCCCTTAACAGAAAAAGTTTGCCAGTCTAGACAATTAACAAACAATAAATCAATAAATCAAGTCCTGATCTAAAATGTTTTTCAGTTTCTGTGGGATAAATACTCCCCCCGTGCCAACTTCAAGCTACCAACACAACATCCCTTAACATGTATTTGGGAAGACATATACGCACAACATTGTATAATATTTTGACTATATAGATATAGTACACATATATAGATAATTCCCATAGATAAAACCCCACTGTAGATAAGCTCATACTCCCAAAATTAACAAAACACATAAGGAAATAATCTACTACAGCAAGAGTAAGCAAGCAGCACACTACAAAACTTCAGTCAATACAATTGTGTCTAAGACCATAATGTAATTATGCATAAAATTATTTTAAAGTAAAAACATGATAAATAAGACACTGTCGTAAAAAGGCCATAGGAATAAACAAACACAAGCTTTCAGGTATATATTTTTCCTGGACAGTGACATAAGAATAACAAATCAGGTGCTATTCATATATACTGATTATTGTACTGGGTGATCATATGATGATTATCTGGAGTTAGTAAGGTTTGACCCTAAACTAAGCATCATCTCAAGCGGCCACATCTTGAAATCTTACATACACCTCTCAAGAGTTTTGTTTTCTTCATGGTGGACAGGACTTTCAAATGTTAGTCCTCTGTATCAGCACTACTGCCTCTTTAAAACCTTCTATCTTTCTACTATTGCTTTTGTTCTCAGCTTGATTTTTATCTTATAAGACTAATCAGATAATAAGGCAGGCTGATTTCCATATACCTAAATCCTGCTTAGCTATGTACACAACCTAGAATTAGAAAGTTTAAAAAAAATAGACAAATAATTAAATTACCTAATCTGCTTCCATTTCTGGGCATTGCCATGAAGGAGCCAAGGCTTCCTCCAATAACGCTATGTGGTCTCCGCAATGGGGGCTTCTTGAAGGACCCTGTGTACTGGTGGAGGAAGGAATGCATACTGTGAGAGGTTGGAGGCCTGCCATTCTTCACGATAGGCTCTGTGGTTCACAGTATCCAAAAATCATTCCATTAGCAGCCCAAGATCCAGGATCAAATGAGAAGGATTGAGAAAGCAAAACAGGAAACAAAACAAAAGTTATAATAGAGATCATTACATTTAACGTTATTTCTTTGACTATCTATACAAAGCACTAGAATTAAAATAATTTCTATGAAAAACATACTTATAGAAAATAATATTTGAAATTGGTTTAGTAATTATCTATTTCTTATATAATCAAAATTGGTTAGCAATCACAAAACTTAGAGCCTATAGATTTTTGATCCATTTGCTTATTTTAATATATCTCAAGATTTTCACACTATTCCTACATTTACTAACTGCCTCATACATGCCTTTTGCTTAGACATGCTGTTGAATATAAAAAATATGGCTCTGGCAAGAAGGAACTTATACTCCTATTTGCTTGACATTCAAAAAAGTAGGTCAGTTAGTGAATAAAACACAAATACTTAAAGACAGATCAATGCAGAGGTTCTGAAATTTATTACCTCAAATTTGGGATTTTTAACTTTTTTTTAAAAATCACAGATGTATCATTTGGCAGAAACAGTTTCAAAATATTTAAATGTTATTTAATTATAGAGGAAGTCCTGTTTTGCAATGTGTACAGGGAATCTAATGACTCCTTCCCATTTCCAAAAAAAGGGCTCTGATATAGGTTAAGGACATGATGAAGTCTTTTGTATTAGAATTATGTTTTTACTGATATAGTCAAGGAATTTAAAAAGGAAGTGGGCTTCCATGCATACCTTCTCTAAAATGAAGCCAGCTCTTCTTTTGTAGCTGATAAACAAGAGTAAGTATAGCACCTGATGAAGGGATTCCCCTATCATGTAAAGGTTTATCAGGCACCAAGCACAAGTTGGTAGGAGTGGGTGGCTTGGTTCCACAGAACAAACCAAAGTATAGGCTTAGGGAAAATGAGCCAGAAGGCCCCTTGATCTGCGCCCCTACTAATAACGCTGTCTAAAAAAGATGGGAGAGGGAGGATGGGGCAGAAGTGTTGTCAAAGCTCACACAAGGCCCAAGTCATCTAATCTGGGTAGAGTGCCAGAATGGAGATAGAGGAAGTACCCAACTAGTTATAGAGAAAATCTGTTCAAAGTGTTCCATAGATTGTCCTTGGCAGTAGCTGGCTGATTAAGAATTTGGGAACTTTACATAAGCTTGGTAAAAGAATCAATGATTTAATAATGAATGAGGAGGCGTATCTGATAAAATTGCATAAATTAGTTACAAAAACTGTGGGAATACATAAGAAAATTTTTCTCTTTCTAGGTTATATTTCAGATCTGGAATAATAAAATATTCTACCTACAGTAATATTTACTGGGAATATTTTAGATGTTCTGTAAAGCTGTCCCAGGAATATGTTTTTTAGTTCTAGAGAATATAGCTTTAAAAAAATGGAGATCATAAATACATTAAATTATTCAGGGGATATTTATTGTACGACTACCATGTGACAAACAATATTATAGGCCCCGGGCATTAAGAAGTGAAAAAAACAAACAAGATACTACTCTTTGAAACTATAAAACCTAATGGAGGGAAGATAGGTAAGAAAACTAATGAGTAAGAAAAATATCAGATAGTGAGAGGCAATATGCAAAAGATTAAAATAAAGAGATGCAATAGAAAATAAATGAGTAGCTATTTTACACTGACTTATTGAGGAAACTTCTCCCTGCAGAGGTATTTTTAAGAGAGAGATAAATGCAACAAAGAGCCAGTCATGGAAAGATGGACAAGTAAGTGGGTTATAAGATTACTGACAGAGAAAAAAGCCAACTGCAAAAGCTGACACATGTCAAAGTTTGACTTGTTTAAGCAGTGGTCCTCAAACTTTAGCATGTTTCAGAATCCCCTTCAAAGACTTAAAACACAAGAAAGCTGGGCCTCAGTCCCAGACTTCCTGATTCAGCAGGTCTGACACAGAATCCAAATATTTTCATCTCTAACAAATCCCAGGTAATGGTGATGTTGCTGGTCCAGGGATCACATTTTGAGAACCACTGCGTTAGAGGAACAGAAAGAAGTCAGGTGTAGCTGTAGTACATAATTGTGGGGGGAATGGTGTTATTAAGTGAGGTCAGAGAGATAAGCACGTTTGCATATCACCATAATAGTCTGAATTTTATTTGGGGATTGGAAGTAGTTATGGTAACTTTGATGCTGACAGTAGTATGATCTGATTCATGTGTTAAAAATATTAGACTGAGGAGTCAGCGATAGTGGGAGGTAAGGAGGTAGGAATGAACATAAAGGGGTGTCATGAGAGGGATCTCTGGCAATGGAATAGCTCTTTATCTTGATAACAGTGGTAGACACATGAAACTACCCATGTGATAAAATGATATAGAACTGTACTCACACTTTATTCCAATGCTTATTTCTGGATTTGATGATGTTCTATAGTTATAGAAGATGCAACCAAAGGGGAGAACTGAGAAAAGGGTACAAGGAACCTGTCTGTACTATTTTTTTCAACTTTTGAATCTATAGTTATTTTTTAAAAAAGCTAAAACTTCACTCTGGTTACTGCTAGAGAACAGATGATAGATAATCAACTGAAGAGACACAGAAGACTATGTATTACAGTACCCTAAGCAATAAATAATGGTGGCTTGGACTGAAATGAAGAGAAGCAGGCAAACAGGATATATTACAAAGGCGGAACCAAAAGGCCAGCAGACATGGCTGCAAAATACTTTCACATACACTCTCCCACCCAGCTTTTAGTGAAGGTCTATATTAAAAACATCTAACCAAAGAATATTTTTAAATTTCCAGCAGAGCAACTTTTAAAAATATGAAATATGGTATTTGAAAGAATAATTGGAATCATGTATCAAGTATATAAATGGCTGTCATTAATAGTGAGTTTTTAGAAGTTATTTATATAGCAAATATATAGCAAGCTAGGATGACAGAGGAGGAGAGAAAGAAAGAGGGTAAAAGAGAGAAAATAAAGATAATTCCTGGATTTTTAGCTTTAAGGTATTCAGGATAAATTAGGAAAGTTAAAGAAGCAGCAAATTTTAGGGGAAGGAAATAAATTCTGGTTTAGTTATATTACATTTGACATTATTAGGCATTCCTATGCAGAAGTCAAGTAAGCATTTGAACATGAATCTAGTGATCCAGATAAAAATTCTGACCAGATATACAGATTTAGGAGCAGTCAGCATACACATAGTAGCTGAAATCATAGGATTGAAAGAGGACACCCAAGGAGAGCGTACAGAAGAGGGAACGGGGCCATGAGAGAATCATAAAATAGTCTAACATTTTAAGATTATGTCTGCATTTAACTGGAGGGTTAAATAATACTCTGTATTTGAAAAAGTAATATAAATCTTGAAAACATTATGTGAATTGAAATAAGCCAGATGCAAAAGAATGAATACTGTATGATTCCACTTACATTATGTACCTTGAATAGGTAAATTAACAGACAGGAAGAAATATATAATAGTGGTTACCAGGGGCTGAGGGAGGGGAGAACGAGAAGTTACTGTTTAATGGGTACAGAGTTTTAGTTTGGGACAATGAAAAGGTTCTAGAGATGGATAGTGGTGACAGTTACACAATAATACGAAGTACTTAATGCCATTAAAATTATATACTTCAAAATGATTAAAATAGTAAATTGTGTTATATATATTTTACCATAATTTTTTTTTTAAGTAATGTAAATCTGCATGAAAAACTGCAGTAAATCTTACCCTATGAGTTGCAACTAAGGACTTCCAATGGTTTTTTAAAAAAGGTTTTATTTTATTTTTAGAGAGAGGGGAAGGGAGGGAGAAAGAGGAAAAAAAAATCAATGTGCAAGAGCTACACCAATTGGTCGCCTCTTGCATGCCCCCAACTGGGGATGTTCTCTGACTGGGAATCAAACCAGCAATCTTTCAGTTTGCAGGCTGGCGCTCAACCCACTGAGCCACACCAACCAGGGCTTCTATGATTTTTAACAGAGTAATATGCCAACCAGTATGATTCCATTGAGAAATTTATGTGACATCGTGCTTATTTGGATCTTCTGATGACATGAACCACTGTGATCAGTGAACACGCAATTTCTTAGCTCACTCCATTTCTGGTTCCCAGCCCTGCTCTTTTAAGCACTTCTATTAACCTGATCCTATTCCAGACCATACTTACATACAATGAAGTCTGTGCTTTGAATATGAATCAGTAGATTCATATTCACTGTGAACCTCATCCTCTCATGGACTTTGCTGTTGGTAGAAATTAGCAGTACTTACAACCCTCTGTCATCACTACTGTCAAAAACTATCTGTGATTGCTACCATGTATTAGGTCAGCAGGAAAAAGGAAGAAACATGGGAGTAAGAAAAAAGGCTAGCCCTGACTGGTGTGGTTCAGGAGGTTGGGCATCGTCCTGTGAACCTGAAAGGTTGGCAGCTCAATTCCAGGTCAGGGCACATGCCTGGGTTGCAGGCCAAGTCCCTGGTTGTGGGCATACAGAGGGAACTAGTCAATGTCTCTCTCCCTCTCTTTCTCCTGTCCTTCACATCTCTCTACAAATAAAATCTTTAAAAAAAAAAAAAAAGTGAAGAATTTCAGTTGTGTCAAAAGAAGTAAGTTGTAGCTGCACCTGGAATCCCCAAAACTATGAATGTATTATAAAACATTTTCCCCTTTCTGTAAGTATAAATTGTGATAGATTCTCTTCCCCATATTTTAAATTGTCACTTATCCTCATCAAATTCAATAATTTCAATATATCTTCTCATTACAGAAAAAAATAAGTTCAAGGATAACTACTTAAAGAGAAGATCCTGAAATATAACTTTCTGTGGTATGTCTAACGTAGCATTAAGACTTTATCAAACAAATTGAGAATCTATGAGGAAAAGGTATTTCACAGATAAACTAAGTTTTTTGTTTTTTTTTTTTACTGACATGAAATTTACATAACACAACTAACCATGTTAAAGTACACAACTCAGTGGCATCTGGTACACTTACAATGTTGTGCAACCATCACTTCACTTCTATCTAGTTCCAAAATGCAGCATGAGGCAAAAGTAGGTTTACAGCTATGTGTACACAAATACAGAGTTTATTCTTGTATTATTTATTAATTATTGTATTATTTTACATACAAACAACTGTAAATCTACTTTTGCCCCATCCTGTATTTTGATCACTACCCTGTATCCATTAAGCAGTCATTCCCCATTCCATCTTCTCCTGGGTCCCTGGCAATCAGTAATCTGTTTTTCATCTTTATTGATTTATCTGCTCTGGGTAGTTTATATTAATGGCATCACTGAATATGTGACTCTTTGGGTCTGGCTTCTTCCAGTTTTCCAGGTTTGTCCACATAGTAGCAGGTATCAGTACTTCGCTCCTTTTTAAGGCTGAACAATATTCCATTCTAGGGACATGTCACATTTTGTTTATATAGTAATCTGTTCATGGACATTTGGGTTGCTTCTACCTTTGGCTATCGTTGAGTAGTGCTATTCTCAATGCAAACATTCGCGTACACAATTCTGTTTGTATATCTATTTCAATTCTTTTTGGTAGATCCCGAGAAATAGAATTGCTGAGTCATATGGCAATTTTATTTTTAACTTTTGAAGAATGAGATTAATTTATTTTTAACTGTCAAATTAATTTAATATTCAATAACTTCTCAGTTACCAAAAAATAAATCTGATGTGCTCAGAATTCTTTTTCCTTGCAAGGTACTTTATTTAGGAAAGCTGTATTAAGGCCAGTATACTTAAATCAACCAAGTTTGCAAACTGTCAACTTATTTTGAACCTACTAAATATAAATTCAAGATTCCTCTTATTTATCAATGTGCAAGTACACTAGCTTATCTAGACAGGCACTCTAATGTGAATTATAATGTGAGTTAAAGCCTTCACAGTATGACCCAGTTATCAAAATGATAGAGATAATACATCAAATTCTATTTGGTTGGAGGTAGAATATGTGTAAGGGAGAGTACGTGGGCATATGTATGTAACCAAATACATCATATGCATCAAAATTTTCTCAAGATTTTTAAGATATTATCCTCATATATGTTTATTTCCCCAATTTGTTCTAGAGTATGCATGAGAGCCACCTGCCTATATATAATGCCAAGAGTTAACAGGATTGTGCTCATGAATATAACTGAACAATACAGAGGAGGTCAAATATTGGTTCAAAGTCAGTTTATTCAGTGATATTATAAACTAATTTCTTCCTCCTCCCTAAGCTAGCATCGACACTATACAGCAATGAGACAAAGATCACTTGCTTCACATACTGGTTACATCACAGAGGAGATCATCTAAAAAGTATTCATTAAACCATGTGCAGAAGTGGATTGTGTGTGTCATCTATTTTAGGATTTTTATGCTCAAAGACAAACTCTATAAAGAAAGAATATATTGGAACCAGTATCAGGAACTCATAGATGACCAAAAAGGTATAGAGTCTTTGTCAAAGCTCTTTTTGAAATTTAAGTGCTATTATACATATGGTAATAAGCAATAGCAGAGTATAACTCAGAGAGAGCCTAGATACCAGCAATCTCTGCAACCCATGAGGAATCACTGTCTAATATGACACCTTCAAGTATTATTTCAAGTAACCCAGGTTAAGAGGAAACTCAACCGAGTTCCTATTTTCCTTTTTTTACTACCTATTAAAGTTGCTATTATAATAAAACAAAGTTTTAATAAACAATATGTACTACTTGAAAAACGTACTTTCAACACTTCACCATTTTATAAATTAAGTATGTTTTACAAGTTAAAACTAAAATATTCCACAAAATATGTGCTTAATTTAAAAACACTAATAAAAATATAAATGTGCCCCAGAAACCACCCCTCAAGATATACTGTGCTTATTTTACTCCTGCGCATCACTGGCAAACAGAAGGCAAGATTCTTCAATCTTAAGAACAAACATACTGGGATTTATTAATAAGAATTCAAAGGGGGCCTAAGAGACAATGAAGAATTTTGTTCAGGCAAGAGGAATAAAAGCAAGAGGTAAGACAACCTTTGAGATTCAACCCAAATGCAAGAAGTTTCCTTCCTAAATATAAAAAACCAGCAAGATTCACTCATCTGATGAACTTTGTCCTATAAGAGTTAACATGCATAAATACACACACATGCACACAATATAATTTTATAAACTGTGATGAAACCTCAAACAGAAACTCCACAAACTTAGTAGGCACTTTTAAGCTGTACTAACTTAGGTTATAATAATAACAAAAATACTTATACATTATCTTAAAAATAGTTACTTAACAACAAGGGTAATATTATACAAGGTATTAAATAATTGTATTATTTAAGAATAAAAAATGGAAGGATAAATGGAATAGGAGAATTCATCAGGGTTAAAAGACCAGGTACAGTAACGCTTGGAGTTAATAGTGGGACACTGCAATAAGCAAGCAAGAAAGCAAAGTTGTGTAGTTCTGCTTTCTAAGAACTAGGGGCCCAGCAGGAAAAACAAAAGGAAGCTATTAGGAACTAATCAGAAAGTAAATTTTCATTCTATTTATAAAGTTATCAAAAGTATAAATAAGCTTTCGTCCTCTCCCCATCCTTCAAATATTTACCATTATCCTTGCTGCTATTTTCTTCAATAGTCATTTGTTCAGCCAATTCAGACAAAGATTCATCAATAGTCTGGCTTCCTCGAAGCGTGAGGGATAGCCTTCTCTTAAATTTTTTCATCCTATCAGTTGACGGTGACTTGAAATATCCTGAAAGAACAGAAAAGAATGAACACAAAATTAAAATCATGAATACTTTACAGCTCAAGAAAAATGTTGTTCTGAGTTTACCAAGAATGTTGAAGATAGAAATATAATGAAGAATTCCCACTTCCACCTAACATCATAAAATACAACCACTTCCTTAAAAAAATCCACTCACTTGCCCTGACCCACGTGGCTCAGCTGGTTGAGTGTCATTCTGCAAAGTGAAAGGCTGCTGGTTCCATTAACAGTCAGGGCACATGCCTAGGTTGCAGGTTGGGTCCCCAGTCAGGGTAGTATACACAAGAGGCAACTGACTGATGTTTCTCTCCCTCTCTTCCTCCCTCCCTTCCCCTCTAAAAATTAAATAAACTTTTTTAAAAAATCCACTCCAATTAATGTTATAATTATGTAGCATCATCAGAAGAGCAGGAATTCTACAAAGTAAAGGCTGAGATTTTGGCATCACATTTAAATTTACGATAGAAGTTTTCCTAAAATGTGCTTATGAAAAATCAATATAGTGAAAATATCAACACTATTTTGATGCATATAAACAGGAATTTTCTTTTTAAGTTCTTATTTAGCCAATATATCAGGGATTTGTTTTGTTTTCTGCCTTGGTCACCTGTCAGGAATCTCTTCCTATAATCATAACAATGCCAAGCTTTAGAAAGAAATGAGTCCTGGCTGGTATGGTTCAGTGGACTGAGTACTGGCCTGCAAACCAAAAGGTCTCTGGTAAATGTTCCCAGTCAGGGCACATGTCTGGGTTGTGGGCCAGGGCCCCAGTGGGGCGTGGGGATGGGGCACTCGAGAGGCAACCACACATTGATGTTTCTCTTGCTCCCTTTCCCTCTCTCTAATTAGAAATAAATAAAATCTTAAAAACAAAGAAAGAAGAAATGAAAGCCAGGTTAATCGATATCAAATGTCTATCCCATACTAGACACTTTCAAATTTCTTAATTCATTTAGTCTTCCTAACTCTAAAAAGGAAACTACATTATTTTAGTTTCACAAATAAGCAAACAGACTCAAAGGAGTTCCCAAATGAAGTCAAACAAACAAACAATGATAGAACTGAGATTTAAAACTAGGAGTACCATTTACCTTTCCCCCCATATTTTAACATCTCTGAAATTAGGATGTATCTTACAATTAATGAGATGTCAAAATAAAATTTAGCTTTCTTCTTTTCTTTTACCCCTGGAACAGGATTTTTTATTTGCCTCTATTAAAGTTCTGAATTTTAAATAGATTCTTGGGCTGGGAGGCTCATATCCATCTACTCTTTCAACTTGATCATCTGTCTCATCCATAGTAGGTTTTCCAGAATTGCTACCTTCACCATGGAGCTTCATGAGTTTTCCCTATTCAAACTTGGGCTTCTTCAACATTTTGACTTTTCTAACAAAGACATCATGAAGCAGATAAATAGAGTGGCAAGTCTTTTCTATATCTTTCCCAATGCTACCTGGAATCAATTTATTGACCACTTCTCTAAAGTCATTTGTTTGAACCTCTCAGGTCATGACAAGAGGGAACCTGGCAGAGAGAATGTCTATCTCCTTTCTCTCCTGAAACTTGACTCTTCAAGTCTTGATTGACTCACAAACTCTACAATGCCTTCAAATTCATTTTTTCACTAGCTTTTCAACCGGTTCTCAGCAGGAGCCTCGGTCTAATGCAAGTTCCTCCATCATAGGCAGAAATGAAGGTTTAGATGAGGATTAGGAGAGATAATATTTAAGGTCTGTCCAGAAGGTATACAGCCATGTACTATGAAAAAGAGAAATATTTATTGAAGAAGATACAAAATATAAGAAACATTGTACATAGAACAATGACACTTCAGTTCCTTTTAAAGTAGGCACATTCAGACCTCACACAGTTCCCCAATTGCCATCAGCTGCCCCATCATATTTTCCTAAATCTCATCAAAGGTCTGAAATCTCTTCCCTTTCAAAAGTGATTTTAGTTTTGGGGAAAAAACTAAACCCAGGCATGTGCCCTGACTGGGAACTGAACTGGTGATCCTTTGCTTCACAGCCCAGTGCTCAATCCACTGAGCCACACCAGCCAGAGCAAAATTCCACACCATTCTCAGTAGCATGAGTAAATCTCTCAACGTCCTGCTTTGGCCATCTCAAGACGTGAGTCATCCCTTGGTCCAGCATATCCACGGATCCATACTGCATATGCTACCTGTCCATCCATTAGTCAATTAGTAGCTGCCCCAGTTATCAGATTAACTGTCACAGTATTGCAGTGCTTGTGCTCAAGTAACTTTTATTTGACTTAATAATGGCTGAGGCACAAATGTAGAGATGCTGGCAATTTGAATATGCCAAAGAGAAGATGTAAAGTGCTTCCTTTAAGTAAAAAATGTGAAAGTTCTCAATTCATTAAGGGAAGAAAATTATATGCTGAGGTTGCTAAGATCTACAGTAAAAAGAAATCATCTATCATGAAAATGAAGGGAAACTAAATTTTTACTAATTTTGCTGTTGTATCTCAAAATGCAAAAGTTATGACCACAGTGTGTGATAAGTGCTTAATTAAAATGGAAAAGGCATTAAATTTGTGGATGGAAGATGTGAACAGAAAAAGTGTTCCAACTGACAGTAACATGTTGTACCGGAAAGCACTGAGCCTCTTCAAAGACGTGAGGAAGGATTCCCTGAAACAAGTGACCACAAATACACAACTTTTATTACAGCATCTTACTATAATTGTTATATTGTATTATTTATTGTTTTTAATATCTTACTGTACCTTATTTATAAATGAAACTTTATCATAAGTATGTATGCATGTATGTACAGTAAACAGTGGTATTATCTACAGTTTCAGGCATCCACAGGGGTTTTGGAATGTATTCCTCATGGTAAGGAGGAACCACTGTCATTTAACAGATTACTATGAACAACTGTACACCAACAACCTATATAACCTAACAAAATAGACAAATTCTTATAAACACAAACATTGAAAATAGATTCAAGAAGAAATAAGCCATCTGAAAAGACCTTCAACCAGTAAACAATTTGAAACAATAATCAAAACATTTCAACAAAGAAAATCTTTGGCTTCACTGCTGAATTCTACCAAATATTTGAAGAAGATTAACAAGAATCCTTCCCAAACTATTCCAAAAAACTGAAGGGGAGGGATCACTTCCTAAATCATTCTATGAAACTAGTATTACCCTACAACACTACAGGAAAACTACAGGCCAGTATCTTTTATGAATTTAGATATAAAAGTCCTAAAAAAGTGAACTCAGCAGCATACTAAAAGGATTACATTTATAACCAGGTGGGATTTATCCCCAGGAGGCAAGGGAGAGTCAACTTGAGAGAATAATAAATGCAGTAACACCACATTAACAGAATGAAGGCAAAAACAAAACAAAACACATGAATATCTCCACTGGTGCAGAAAAGGCACTTAACAAAATCCAATACTCTTTCATGATAAACCCACTCAATAAACTAGGAATAGAAGAGAACAACTTCTACATGATTAAGGCCATATATGAAGAACCCGCAGATAATACCATATTCAATAATGAAAGACTGAAAACCTTTTCCCTAAGATTAAGAACAAGATAAGGATGTCCACTTTCACTACTTCTAGGAAGTTCTGGCCAGAGCAATTAGCCAAGAAAAAGAAATAAAAGGTATCATAATTAAAAAAAGAGACGTAAAACTATCCCTATTCACATTTGACATTATTTTATATACAGAAAATCCTAGCAGGGGTGTCCAACCTACAGCCCGCAGGCTGCATAAGGCCCAGGATGGCTATGAATGCGGCCCAAAACAAAATTGTAGATTTACTTAAAACTTTTTTTTTGCTCATCAGTTTTCATTACTGTTTGTATATTTAATGTGTGACCCAAGACACCTCTTTTTCCAGTGTGGCCCAAAGGCGCCAAAAGGTTGGACACCCCTGGAGCAACCCACAAATAAAAACCTGTTTGAGCTACTATATGAATTCAGCAATGGTGCAGGATACAAAATCAACACACAAAAGCCAGCTGTATTTCTCTATGTTGGCAATAAAGATGCTAAAAAGAAATTTAAATAGCATCAAACCAGTAAAATACTTAGGAAAAACTTTAATCAAGGAATCACAAGACTTATACACTGAAAACTACAAAATGTTGCTGAACACATTTAAAGTCCTAAATAAATGCAAGGACATTCTGCATTCATGTATTGGAAGACTTAACAGTAAGATGGCAATATTACCCAAAGTGATCTACAGATTAAATACAATCCCTGTCAAAGTCCCAATGTTGTTTTCTGCAGAAATTTATTTATATAGAATACCAAGGGACCTTAAATAGCCTGAACGACCTTGAAATAGAATAATAAAAAGCTGGAAGTCGGACACTTCTTGATTTCCAAACTTACCATAAGCTCAATAATTGAAATATGGTACTGGCATAAGAACAGATATATAGACCAACAGAATAGGACTAAAAGCCACAAAACAAACCTTCATATCTATGATAAACTGATTTCTGACAAGGGTGCCAAGACCATTCAATAGGGAAAAGACAGTCTTTTTTTTTTTAATTGTTCAATTGCAGTTATCCCCATTTTCCCATTATTCTCCTGCCCCACCACCCCACATTCAATCCTCCTCCCCAGTTCTCTTTGTCCATGGGCCCCTTACACATGTTCCTTGACTTGAACCCTTCCCCTTCTTTCCCCCATAATACCCCTCTTCTCTACCCCTCTCTTCTGGTCACTGTCAGTTTGTTTCTGAGGGAAAAGATAGTCATTTCAACAAATGGTGTTGGGAAAACCAGATACAGTCACCTGGAAAAAGAATGAAGTTAGATTCTTACCTATGCCATATATAAGAATTAACTCAAAGTGAATCGACGTCCTAAATCTAAAAGTTAAAACTATAAAACTCTTAGAAGAGGATACTTATAATGTTGAATTTGACAATGATTTCTTAAGCATGGCACCAAAAGCACAGGGAACA